AGAAAACTTTAAAGTTGATTGAGCCATCTTTCTTTTGCTACTTGTTCTTGAATTTGGATGCACTGAAGGCTTGGAAGATGAATTCGTAGCACCCGTAGATTGATTTTCTTCAAACTCCTCATTGTCTTTGATATCCTCAAAATAATTAAATTCGGTAGTATCCCGCGATGCTTTATTCATCACTTTTTTGCTCATAAATTTATGTATTTTCTTACGAATTTCTTCTGTGGTTTTAGGGTATTTAACCACATCGCCGTAACTCCCAACTAAATGGTGCTTTAACATCTTGACCCCAGAATGTCTATGACAAAGAGCGCATTCAATTAAATTTTTGCTATTCAAATTCGGCTAAAATCCATACTTTTATCCTAGATCAGATGATTTGGCCTTTCTCGCTGGATCCCAGATCAGATGATCTTGGACATTTTCATTATCGGCCATTAAATTAGAACTAATACAAAAAAATATAAAATAAAATGCTTAAATAATAAGACAATCATTAAAATATGAATAGAATTAATGCAAAAATCAACATAATTAAAAATAAAATCGATAAAATGAAATAAGTTAAATTAAAAATATAAAATCCATAAACAAAAATAGCTTTATATATATAATTGCCTACGAATACAATACATACATATATGTAGTTACAAGTACAATCGAACTAATATATTAATATTATGTATATAACACCAACGAGACAGTACATTATATATAGTGCTTGTTAATTGAGTAAAAGATATAATAATGCAGTTTGTTCTATAGCTTTAGCATAATATTCAATAGTATAGTACATGAATAATAATAAAAATGTCTGCACTAAATCTATACACTTTTCACTAGAAAGAATTATTAATAAAAAGTAGTGCACTAGCCACTAAATTCTGCAGCAGCATATTAATAATAAAAAATCGTATGTATATATATCTATATATCATATACTAACCTAACACTCTCCACTAGAAACTAACATAACACTTTGCACTAGAAAAAAATAGTAATATAAAATACTGCACTAGCCACTAACTCCTGCAGCGCTAGTTCATTAATAATAAAAAAAATCCTATATATATCATATACTAACATACAACAAGGCTAAACACACAACTCAAGGAGTTCTTACCTGCTCCAACGATGGAAGCCGGACTGAAGATAGAGGCCAAGCGGTGGATGGCGGCGGCAACAGAATCGGGTGAGACTAACCTTAACAACAGAGGTGACGTTGGGTTTAGGTAAAGCTGGGTCTAGGGCTGAGTTTGACGTTTAGGGCTCGGTGGATTTAGAATGGATTTAAACTCTAATATGGGTTTAAGAATTAAATTAGGCTGAATATAGGGCCCTAAGCCTGGACTTGTCGACATATGGCGTCGCCTTGGCGGGACGGCGTTGCCAAAGGGATGCCCGGATGCCAGCCTCGTCGAATGGCGAGACTATTTTTTCTGGCGGTGATGATACACCGCGAGGACGCCGTGACAACCTTGGCCACTAAAAACAGCTCAGACGAGCATTAATTTATGCATTAATTTGTTCTGTTAAGAATTCAATTGAGTCGTGGATTATAGATTATGGTGCATCATTCCATGCTACTTTTAGCACGAATACGATGAAGAATCTATAGACAGGTAACTTTGGTAAAGTTTGTTTGGCTAAAAACGACTGTCTTGACCTCACAAGGATTGGTGACGTAGATCTAAAGACCCCTTGGGACACCATCCGGACGTTGAAGGACGTTGGGATAATCCCTAGTCTTAAGAAAATGCTTATCTCCATTGGATAGCTGGATGATCAGGGATATAATGTCACGTTTAGAGGAGGGCAATAGAGAGTCGTCAAAGGAATCTCGTAATTGCCAGAGTAAAAAAGAGGGGTACCCTATACATGGCCGATGTCTCTAAAAATTAAGCGAATGCAGTAACCAACAAGCAAAGTCCATCTGTTTTGTGGCACCACCGACTTGGCCACATGAGTATGGAATGAAGATGCTTGTTGCAAGAGAAATGCTTCCAGATCTAAAGAGGGTGGGTTCCGAGTTTTGTGAGCCCTGCGTGCTTGGCAAGAAGAAGAAAGTCTTTCTTACAAAGACGGGGTGGCATACACTAAAGGTTCAGAAGTTGGAATTGGTTCACTCTGATGTCTATGGACCAACACCAGTCTCGTCTTTTGGTGGAACATACCATGTAATGTTCATCAATGATTCAACACGAAAAATATGGGTCTATTTTCTTAAAAACAAGTCTGAAGTTTTTAATACTTTTAAGAAATAGAAGACTGTTGTTGAATTAAAAAACTAACCTGAAGGTAAAATGCTTGAAATCGAATAATGGAGGTGAATACATGAGCACAGAGTTCACCGAGTATTGTGCTGAACACGGAATCCGAATGATCAAGACTGTCCCAGGCATTCCTTAGCATAACGAAGTGGCAGAAATGATGAACAAAACACTAAATGAGAGGGACAGAAACATGAGACTGAATGCTTGACTTCCAAAGACGTTCTGAGCTGATGCAATTAACACTGTTGCTTATCTTATCAACTAAGGACCATCAGTGCCATTAGGTTTCAAGATACCCGAAGAAGAGTTGAAAGGGAAAACAATAAAGTATGGTGACAAGTTAGATGCCAAAGCTAGAAAATACAGCTTCATTGAATACGGAGGAGACAAGATAGGCTACCGGCTTTGGGACTTTGAAAGTAAAAAGGTTCTCAGAAGCAAGCATGCTACATTCAATGAGGCTGAACTTTTCAAAGACAAGTACAAAAAGTCCAAAGGTTGCGAAAGAACATATTGAGTTTGACAGTGATGTTTATCAGAACCAGAGAATCAGTGGGTCCTCAAGATAGTGGGAGTCAGAAGAATGAATCCAATATTGAGGAGTTTGAAGGCAATTAAGGGGACTTTGTTGATAGTGGAAGTTCAGAGGATGAAGGACCTCCCCCTTCATGTCATTTGGTAGAAAAAACTCGTACTCTTCTTTTACATTATAATGTTCCGTTCAGTTTTCGGTTAATGCTATCCATACAACATGTTTTTTTATTAATCGTCTTCCATCTACTGCAATAGGTCATAAGATTCCCATCACATGTCTTCAGCCTAATGTGTCGTTATACCTTTTACCTCTGTGTATTTGGTTGTACGTGATTTGTTCATAACCATTCTCCTGGTTTAGACAAATTTCGTTCTCGATCCATCAAATGTGTTTTCCTTGGGTACTTCGAGTTCAAAAAAGATATATATATTATTCTCTTCTCACTCGTCGATATTACCGTAGTGCAGATATCACGTTCTTTGCATGGTGAGATTCAAAAAGAGATATATGGAGCAACATCCTGGTTTCGTTGTTCAAGCGGAGTCTGGTCTTGTATGTTGCGTTTGTCGTTCAGTCTATGGCTTGACACAGTCTCCACGGGCATGGTTTGGACGTTTCAGTCTTGCTATTAAAAATATTGGTTGCAATGTTCGTCTGAATATACCGTATTCTTTAAGCATGATTTAGAAAGGCGATGCGTTTACTTAATTGTCTATATATTGATGAGATTGTCATCACTAGAGATTATATAGATGATATTACAAAGTTAAAGGAGCATTTACACAATCATTTCCAGACTATAGACTCGGGACCACTACGGTAATTCTTAGGAATTAAGATTGCCCAATTGAAGAATGGTGTTATGCCATCTCAGAAAAAGTATTTTCTTGATATATTGGAAGAAACAAGTATGAATGAATGTAAGGTTGTGGATTCCTCTATGGATCTAAATACAAAATTGCTTCCAGGACAGGGAGAGCGATTGACTGATATTGATGCCGAACGATATAAAAGGCTGGTTGGAAAGCTTAATTATCTCACTATCACTAGACCAGATATATAATTTGCAGTAAGTGTTTGCAGTCTCAATGTGACTCTCTTTGGAAGACACTTATGCGTATTTTGCGGTATATTATAGGATCTCCCGGAAAAGGATTACTTTATACAAATCATGGCCATTCTGAAATCGTTGGATATTCAAATGCTGATTGGACGGGGTCTCCAATTGATAGGCGTTCTACCTCTGGTTGTTGCGTGTTTATTGGAGGCAATATGATATCTTGGAAAAGTAAGAAACAAGACCTGGTTACACGCTTTAGTGCTGAGGCTGAATATCGTGCTATGACTTTAGCTACATGTGAGCTCCTCTGGATTAAGCAATTACTTTGTGAACTCAAGTCTTGTGATGTGATGAAGATGAAGTTATGGTGTGATAACCAAACAACACTACACGTTGCATCAAATCCAACATTTCATGAACGAACAAAACATATCGAAATAAATTGTCTCTTCTGAAACGTTATTAGGATCTCTAGATACGAAATGTGTGTCCTCAAATGATTAACTTGCATACATATTTACAAAAGCTCTTAGAGGTCCTAGATCTGAGTCCATCTGCACCAAGCTTCGATCGTATATGACTTATACGCTCCAACTCGAGGGGGAGTGTTAGATTTGATAGATTCATATCTATACCCATATCCATATCATATCTATGATTTAGTGTGTTAGTATAGATTTCTAAATACCTTTATGTATATGTATTCTTCCTTTCTCTTTTATGATGAAAGGAAAGGATAATTTCCGTCTATTTCTCTATTCTATTTTCCTACAACATGCAATGAATAGTAGCTTGGTCATTGTCTCTTGAAATCTAAACTGTACAAACTGGCAAGTAGAAACCCAGTGCTACCAACCTTACTTGGAAAATTAGATCTAATTTGGGCTTATATGGCACAACGTTAGCTTCATTGGGCTGTCTTTTATTCTATCTTTCCTTTTGTCTTGTTTCGTATTTATGCTTAAATTTCTAATTATTTTACTTGGACTTTTTAACCAAATTGATAGAGATAAAAAATTTGCATCCCAAATGCGAAAGCCAATATTGAAGTCTGAATGCTCTTTGTAGACACAGTTGTTTGGGCCATAATTTTTGTATCTAATAATTTTTTTTGCATTTCTTGATTTAGGTGGACTTGGATGCATATGCAATGTGACATATGAATCTGCATGCAGGTTGTTATATTTATATATCTATGTCTTTATCAATATCTATATCCATATTCTATGATAGATTTTCCGAATATCTCTCTCTATATATATGTTCTATTCCGTTTTTTTTTTTCTTTGAAATATTACAACAATATTTTCTCGTACATGATATCAGAGCCAATTAGGATTTAGGTAAAATCTTGTTTTCAACCGCTGCCGCGAGTTCGCCACTGCTTCTCAAACCCTAATTCTACCAAAATCCTAATTTTTCTCCTATTTCAATTTGAGTTATCTTTCCGCCCAACCACCACCATAATCTATCTCTCAATAGACCGACGCCTCCAACTATAGTGAGAGAGCCGCCGTCCGCCGCGCACGCTCCCCATTGGCCGTCACCAGAAGACGACCTAGTGTAGGTTTCGGTCGGTTTCAACCTTTTTTCCGGTGGCTTTTTTAGACACTTTCCGCACCGGTGCGTTCCTCTGCTCAAAACGCATTGGGTGGCATCGCTCTCCGCTGCCTCCGTCAGCTGTCCACTGTATTTTTTCTCAGACAGCTTTTTTGGTGATGTTTCTATGGCTGATCAATTTAAACTTCAAAATTTTGAGCCTATTACAATCGATAAATTAGAAGGTGTATATAATTATAAGTCAGAGGCTACATCTATACGACTGTGGTTCAAAGGACAAGGGAAATTTGACTGTCTTACAAGGAGAGTAAGAAATTAAAGAACTTCAATTTTAATGGGCAAAAGCTGATACCTAATTATGTGCCTTATTGTGGAATTCCTAAGATCCAACCATACATCCCACGTATAAGTCATTTGAGATATGCTATGAAGTTTAAGTCTCGTTTTAGTTAAAGATTACACACTTGATCTTTCTACTTATTGAGTAAACTAGAAGCTATTCGACAAGTTTTGTTCTCTTATTTTTAACATTGCTGCAAATTCAAAAGTTGCTTAGGACAAATTCTTTGCTGTATTAGCTCTTGTTAACCTTAAACCTGAACTTGATCATGTTTGAGACCAGATTCAAAGAGGTGTCACTGTACCCACGCTGGATGATGTTCTTGTTCGTTTAGTACGATAGTAACACCCTTGTGGCTACCCCATCTAATAATACTATTGATAGTTTAGCTTTGGTATCCCAAAATCCTAACTCCGGTAATCCTAATAAAAATCGTGGGGGTGAGGGAATCAAGATCGCACTGGACGTCCATAATGTAGTTATTGTCACAAGATAAGACATACATGAGAATGTTGCTTCAGCTTACATGGACGACCCCTTCGCTCGACGAATGTTGTTGCTACTGATTCGCTTGGAAATTCATGTGACACTATTACCTTACGTGGAGCAGATTATGCAACATTCCTTCCGTATCAAGCATCTCAGCTCCTCCACCGGTACTGCCACCTCACCTGATACCTATACTGTCGTTATTGGTGTCTCTTAGACCATTCTTGGTCTATGGGTTCTAGATTCAGGTGCAACTGAGCATGTGTCTGGTAATCCTTCTTCATTTTCTACCTTTCATCCATTGAATTCACTAACTCATGTTACTCTTGCTAATGGTGATAAAGTTTACCCTCGAGCTGTTGGTAAAGCCTATCCATCACTTAATTTACAAGTTTGTACTTTATGTCCCTCAAAGTCCATTTAATCTTATATCTGTTAGTCGTCTCACTAGAGATGCAGATTGTTCTATCTTACTAACTAGTAATTCTCTTGTTATTTAGGATCGCAGCACGGGGCGGATGATTTGTCCTGGACATGAGTCTCATGGGGTATATTACCTAAATGAGTCCCCTCTTAATACCTCTACCATTGGTATATCCTCTATTGAGTCTCTCAAATTATTCCACTAATGATTAGGTCATCTCAATCTATCTAAATTAAAGCATTTTTTTTTTCTAATTTTTTGTCACTATCTTTGTCACCATGTGAGCTTGAAAAGCAGTCTCGTACTTCATTTCCCAAGCGCGTCGATAGTCAAGCATCTGAGCCTTTTGCATTTGTTCACTCTGATATTTGGGGGCCTTTTTATACTACTTTAATTCTTGGTTTTCAATATTTTGTTACGTTTGGTGATGATTTCTCTCGATTGAAATGGGTTTATTTAATGAAAAATCAATTTGAAGTACTGTCTAAATAGTTTTATGCTGAAATTTGTACACAATTTTATACATCTATCAAGATTTTAAGAATTGATAATAGTGGAGTCATTTAGTGATTTTGTCTCCTCTAAAAGAATTATTAATCAGTCGTCTTGTCCTTCCACTCCCCAACAAAATGGAGTGGTTGAGCGCAAGAACCGTCATCTAATAGAAATAGCTCGTACCTGTCTCATACATTATAATGTTTCATTTCATTTTTAGGCAGATGCTAATCTTACAACATGTTTCTTTATTAATCGTCTACCGTCTCTTATCTTAAGACATCAAATTCCCATAAAATGTCTTCAACCTAATATATCCTTATATCATTTATCTTTCTGTGTATTTGGTTGTACGTGCTTTGTTCATGATCATTTTTCTGGTTTGGACAAATTACGTCCTCGGTCCATCAAATATGTTTTCATTGGGTAATCTCGAGTTCAAAAATGATAGATGTTATTTTCCTCACTTGTCGATATTACCTTAGCGCATATGTCATATTCTTTGAGTCATCACCATACTATAGTGTCATCATCTCCATATACTTGTGACTTCTCTTCCAGTTCCCAAGCCTCGACTTCAGATCTAGTCGGTATACATGGCAGCGTGAGAACATACCTACTTCACCATCACTTGCGTCTATTTATGACTCATTTCTGGTTCTGTCGCCTTCTCCGGTTGTAACTCCACGGTCACCTGTCGTCCCACGTCGAGGTACTCGGTCTAGTCGGTCACCTGTTTGTAATTATCTTAGTTCTCACCGCTTATCTCATTTCATGTGTAGGTAGTGTTGTGACTGTTTTAGACTCTGTCACTATTCCTTGCTCGTGGCGTGAGACTTTCGGTCATTCAGGGTGGTGTCAAGCTATGATGGAGGAAATGTCTGCTTTGCATGCCAACAATACTTAGGAGTTGGTTCCGTCTTCAGTTATGTTGCTTTCCCCTCTTGTTAAATTTAAGAGAACTCTAGACTATTCCTTTATGATGTATATATATATGCATGATGTAATTTGTTTATAGTGAGAATGAGAAATAGAGAAATATTGATCTATTATTCACAAAGTATCATAGTCTTAGGGCAAGGATCCTAAGCTTGTATCTTGGCCGACTTCCATCTCACCCCCGGTGAGTGGAGGTCTGGAGGTTTCAAGCAAACTCTGCCGCGGCGTTCCGGCGAGCGTGTGGATCATATGCATGCAGTTTGTTCGCGCCCACATTCATGCGCTAATGTGTGAAGGAGAGTGCGGCAACAATAGGTGTTTTGACGGGTGCAACTGAGCGGAATCTGCTCCGGTAACACTTTGGTGAGTTGTGTTCTGGTGGGTGCAGGTTCTGCTCCAGATGTTGAATGGGTTTGTTCCAAATTGTTGCCCCAGCCCCAGACTACTGTGGAGGTTCTGTTCCGGCAACATTATGAATGAGAACAAGCCCATTATTGACTCTGAAGTTTCCCTAGTTACATCCAAAATTACCATGTACAAGTTTAGTGGATCGAATTATTTGGCGTGGAGCAAACCATGAAACTTACATGCTAAGTATTGAAAAGGGCCGTCATTTAGAAGAGGAACCTCCTACCGATGAAAAAACAAGGAAGGCATTGCTTGGGATGATGAAAGATTATTCCTGCAAATTAAAGATTCGATTGACGTCCAGATCTAGTGATTGGTGTCATTGCAACACTATGAAAGAATTCAATATTTGGAGTTCTTGTATCCTAGTAAAGGGAATATTACCCGAATATACGATGTGTGCAAAGCCTTTTACTGGGCTGAAATGTTTGGCAAATCCATCTGTGAATTACTTTATGGATTTCAAAAGAACATATGAAGAGCTTAACGAACTAACGCCCTTTAGTATTTGTAATCAATGTGTATTTCTTATCATTTAAAAAATAAACCTATACACTTAATATACAATTCCTTACACTAATATGGGCTTGGGCTCATACTCTGTAATACTTGATCTAATTAAGGCTTATGACCACAATCTATATCAAATACTAACTAATATATGTAAATAATATACACTATATATCTAACACTCCCCCTCAAGCTAGAGCATAAATATCAACCATGCCTAGCTTGTCACAAAATATTTTAGTCGAGTGCTAGGTTAGGCCTTGGTCAGTAGATCTTCAACTTAACCTCTTGTTCTTACATGACCTGTAACCACCGCTCCCTGTTGAATCTTCTCTCGAATAAAATGACAATCCACTTCAATATGTTTAGTCATTTCATAGAATACAAGATTCGACGCAATGTGGAGAGCTGCCTGATTATCAGGCCATAATTGTGTTGGAGTTGAGATTTGGAAACCCAATTCTGTCAAGAATTGATGAATCCAAATAATCTCACAAACTGAATGTGCCATTGCCCGATATTCTGACTCAGCACTAGATTTAGACACCACGTTCTGTTCCTTACTTTTCCACGTAACCAAGTTACCACCCACAAATACGCAATATCCAGAGGTTGAGCATTAGAGAAACACTTAATCTGATTATGACCATAATTTTTGTACGATAACCCTTATCCTGCAGTGCCTTTTAATAAAATTTATTCTAAAACCTCCCAATGCTGGACTATATGAGCACTCATAAATTGACTTACCACACTACCTGGATAAGCGATGTCCGACCGAGTTATGGTGAGATAATTCAATTTACCTACTAATCGTCGATAACTTTCAGGCTTCATTAAGGCTTTTCCAACCTTTGTAAACACCTGGTTTGGTGTCATAGGGGCACTGGATGGTTTAGCTCCAATCTTTCCGGTCTCAATTAACAAATCAAGAATACATTTTAGTTGAGAAAGAAATATACCATTTTTCTTCCGAAACACCTCAATTCTTAGACAATAACGTAACTCACCAAGATCTTTAGTCTGGAATTGTGAGTGAATAAATTCCTTCAAGGTTGAGATCCCACCCGTATCACTGCCAGTGATAATAATGTCATCCACATACACCACGCGGAGTGTAATTCCAGAATTTGTACGACGATAAAACACAGAGTGATCCGATCTGCAATTCATCATCCCAAAGGTCTCAATCGTATGGCTAAATTTGCCAAACCACGCGCGAGGGCTCTGCTTTAGGCCATATAAAGACTTTCGCAAGCGACACACTTTCCCCGACTCCCCTTAAGCAACAAACCCTGGAGGTTGTTCCATAGACACTATCTCCTCCATAAAGAAAAGCATTCTTCACATTCAATTACCACAAAGGCCAATGATGACAAGCAACCAAAGACATCAATATACGAATAGAAGTCAGCTTGGCTACCAGAGAGAACGTCTCAACATAGTCCACACCATATGTCTGAGCATAACCTTTAGCCCCAAGTTGCGCTTTAAGGCGAGCGATAGAGCCATCAGAGTTAAATGTTACAGCAAATACCTAACAACAACCATTCGACCGTTTTCCTGCTGGCAACAAAACCAACTCCCATGTACCATTGGTGTCCAATGCATTCATCTCCTCAATCATAGCAGCACGTCAACCAGAACGAGATAAGGTCTCAAACACAGACTTAGGAAGCGTTATTGAGTTAAAAGTATAAACAAACAAACGAGACTGATGTGATAAACGGTCACTAGAAGCAACAGAGCCAATAGGGTAAGTGCATTGACGTTTACCTCTATGAAGGGCAATAGGGAGATCTTTATAAGCGACAGGAGGTGCAGATTGAGAATCAGCCGACTTCAGGGGCGGAGTAGGCGAGGAAGAATCGGGACTGTGGGCGAGGAGGATTCTGGTATAGGACACGGAAAAGGGGTTCTGGGGCGACCGGAGTAGAGCTGTGGAAAGTGGATAGTCTGGTATAGAGCTGGAGGCTGAGACGCAGTATAAACTAACCAGTCGTCATCTGAAACCGGAGTGGGAGCACTAGAATCAAAGGGAAAACTCGTAGACCCTGCAATTACTTCTTTATAGGATATATTTTCTAGAGTCCTCCGGGCTGATGAATCACATCTAGTCTCTTCCGATGGAGACTTGGTGAGCAAGAAGAAATACAAGCTAACCAAAGGAGAAAATCGACAAGGCATTAGCATATTTAAAGCGAGAGTGCAAGCCAGCCAAGACACTCATCACTGCCATTTGTTCCCTTTGTGGTTGAATTTGCACATGTGGAATTCACTATGTCATTTCAATTGAATTCTTAATTTGGAGGAATAGCCGGGAGTCATCTTGCTACCAATCATCATAACATGCATCAATAACCAAGAGAGGATCATTGTCTAAGTCGGTAGCTTTACCAGTGCTCTATAGATACATATTGATGGTCTTAAATCAATCAAGGTAATTTGACCCATTTAATATGTATTTTGTAATTCGAGAAATAATGGGCACTCCATCAATCACCATCTTCTTTATTTCGCTTAAATCTGATTTTTTATCTCCCATTATATACACAAGAAAATTGTACCAAAGACATAGCCAGAGAGAAGAAAATAAGGTCAGAAGAATAAACATGCTGCAAAAACACACCCAGAGCTTAATCTGAGAAACACGCCCATAGCAGAATATACTAGAAACTGTACTACTCCTAGAGAAGTATTGTCGCCACCAGAGGCGTTGACTTGGACATTTACTATGGGGAAACAAAGTCAAAATCCCCACCAAACGTATGTAGTCCCACACACTTTGCTAGGGAAGGTAATGGACGGGCAGGAAAAAGGCGACGGTGATGGCAACGATTCCGGTGACTAACAAAACAACCTACGAAATGTCCTACCCCAAACCCTAGTATCATGTTAATCGCTTTGCTCTGATACCATATGAGAGAAATATTGGTTCATTTTGTTGAAATATATATTTCCAACCTATCTATCAAGTTGTTTTCAGTTTTGATTAAGGTTTTTAGTTTTCTATTCAATTTTTTGTCTAGTGTTTTTGCGTATTAGGAACTAGCACCGCTGCACGACAAAGGATCGCCGTCAGAAATCCTAATTTAATGTCACTCTAGCGACATATCTTTGTTGTTGACGCCGCGACAGAGGATCATGGTCATTAAAAATCCTAACTTGGCAAAGAATTTGATTTATTCGAGTTATCGCCATTGCGACAAAGGATTGTCGACGCATTCCCACGACAGAGGATTGACGTCACTAGAAACCTTAATTTGGTCAAAGTCTCAATTTTTAGAGTTTAGCGCCGCCACTACGACAGAGTATCGATTTGAATGCCCTAAAAATTGATGCCTAGTTATGATGTCCATCCATATCCAAACTTTAAGTATCGTTTTTTTTTTTTTTTTTGCCGAAATCGACAGAGCTCTATTTTTTACTTCATTGAGTGTTTCATTTTCGACTCCATTGGAAGTTTTATTTTTTACTTCACTGAGAGTCTTGTTTTCGACTCAAACTTAGTTATGAGTTAGTCCATTCCCATTTCTGATTCTAACTCTGACATGAGCAAGTCCCGTTGCCGACACTCTGTTATGAGTATGTTCCGTTTCCGACGCTAACTCAGTTCATAGCGTTTCTTTTAACTCTATGGATGATTTTGGTTAGTAATATTCGATCTCTCTTTGCAAACTGTGACACCACTTGAGTTTAAAGAAATATTGAAATATTTTAGACATTTAGTTTATTGTTTAGATTAGATTTCTATTATCTAGATTAGGTCGTTGTTATTTGGTTATATTTATTAGATTAAATTGTTATTATTGGAGTCTATCTAGTCAATAATGTGTCTAATTATAGACCCTTATTTCGTCATTAATAATATGTATATCTGAAAATTAAGATTAAGAAAATTATAAATTATGAAATTTAAAATGTGATTAAAATGTATAATAATTTTTCAAAAAAGAAAGGGATGAATTATGTAAGATGGATGAAAATGGAAAAAGTGGACATTTTATGTGGGATAGAGGGAGTAATATATGTCTAACAATATATTTAACAGATGATATGGCCTTATTATAGAAATATGGTATACTTTTTGTGCTATTTCTGGAAGCACCAAATCAATGCATGCTTGCAGCTTTTATTTGGCTATATAATGCCTAATGCTAGATGACCATGGGTCACAGAACACCGGTTTTAATGATATGGCTAATCAGTACATAATCCAAGAGGTTTTGCATCTTCTGCATGTATGAGTTGATATGCTTGAAATGTACTTTTTGGTTGTTTAAGGATCCACAATTGAGTATTTTCTTTTCTAAAATTCTATATTTTTGTGTGCGCAACTGATTTTATCAGTCTATAAAAAATCTACCTTCCACTTCTCGGATCATGTAATCAGTTTCTTCTTCTGATACAGAGTGCTTATTGATCTTGCCATTCCTTGTGGGAAGCCAGCTTTGCGGGTATTTGAAGGCTTTACAGTTGGATTTAATCCACGGTCATGGGAAATTGTAAGCTACCTCTGTATTAAAGTTGCTTCTTGGATTGCTACGCATATGGTGAATAACTATATATTCATATATCATTACATTATTGTAGGTCTATAATGGTCTGACTCAGTTGGGTTATGAAAAAGCACACAATATGTTTAGGTACCACATTTATTAGTTTTTACATTTGCTTTGCATTTCAATTTTCTGTTCTGTTTTAGATACCACCAAGAAGTTGTAATCCTTGCTTCAAGTTCAGTCACCATTTCTTCATATTTTTTCTTCCTTGTGTTTTCTGTTTATAACACTCTTGTCCTATTTTCCATGGACATTAATAATTTTTGCATTTTAAAGTTGGATTAGAATTTCATTGACTTGATGTCAAATTAGTTGACTTTTTTTTGCGAATGCAGCTTCAAATCTGAGCAAAGAGATGTCACGTTATACTTAACTGCGGTTGCTTCCCTCTCAGGTTTAGTGGAAAAGCCCATGGTTAAGGTCTAGTATCGTTTGATGTCTGAATATACCTGTATCAGTCAATGCCTAGAGGAGCATAATTGTATCAGTCTATTCTCTTTCTCTGGCATTTTCCTTTCAGATTTCTCCAGATAAAGGATTGGATGTTCAGTTGTCTGGCTCAGGGGCAAATGGCGACCCACCAACTACTTTGTCTCCCACAATGATACATGTGGAATGGATATGTAATGACCTTGCTAATGTCATATGATACATTTAACTTTACTTTGTGGCAATCTCCCTGATGTTCTACAACTGTTCTTTAAGGTGAAAGGGGCCTTGATATGCCATATGAAGTTGAAATTACTATTCCAATAAAGGGTTATGATCCTATTCAGTTTACCCTTGCAAAGATGTGTGGTAAGCTTCAATTTCATATGTGTTTGCACCTCCATTACTTGTCCGTCGACTCTGTTTTGAAGTCGTAAAGACCTTGAACTTTTATTTTTCATCAGACAGATCACCACACCAGTTCTTTTTGCTTGGTTTTAACATGCTATTTTCCTAAACAAATCCTGTAGAACACACACAAAGTGAAAGCAGCGAGGATTCTAGAGGATGGGCTGTATTCGGGATCATATCTTGCATGTATGTCACAATTTTTATGTCGAATGTTTTGCCTTTTTTACTTTCAGATGCAAACATCCTCTGCTTGCCTACACATTTTCTGCTATTCAATTTCCCATAATGATTTGTTAGTGCATTGTATTTCTTTCTGCTTCACTCTATTGATGGTTAATTTCTGAAACATGGGACAGATCCATTGTAGCATTTACACTCTTCTGCTGTGGAGGATTTATCTATAGAACTCGAGTGAAAAACTTGGTTTGTTAATTTCCTTTCATCACCAAAATGAATAGCAATTAGCCTTTTCATCGCCCTGTTTTTGTTTATGGTGGGTTTTTCTACAGCACGGTATTGATGCAGTCCCTGGAATTGCTATACTATCCTCATGTTTGGAAACTGTAAGTCAAAGCTTTTTGGTATTATATGAAAATTCTGAACTGTTAATCTCTTGCCAACTTCATGTGCATATGTATATTATGTATATATTCATGCACCTGCCTCACATTATTTTGTACTGATATTGAATAGGCAAGTGGAGGCATTCATGGGTACACACAACCTAGTGATGCTAACAATCCTTTCACTAATCAAGGTCCTTGGGACCGGCAGCCAACTTACACCCAAGGAACAGCAAGACCAAGTGAAAGAACATATGGATCCATTTAAGCTGTATCTCTTCTACTTAAAAGTAACATATTCGATGGAGACATTTTGTAAAAGCTAACTTTTTGTCAACTCTTCATTCATTGGTGAATAAATCTGATTTGAACCCATATGGGCATTGTAACCTTTTAATAATTCAACCTGGTTTACATATGAAGAATGCAGTTGTGTTTACTCGGCCATAAAGGTGAATTAAACTTTGTTATGAAACCATTATTTACCAGTTATTTTCCCTTTGTGAATGAATGAATTATAGAGATGCATCATTCCTAGTTGTGATGACTTATTTACTCAACGTCTATGGTGTGTGGGTGGGTAGGTGGTGTACTACCCATATAAAGATTTCATCGATAGAGATCTATATAATGAAATCATCTCATAGGCCAGCACGCAAGTAAACAATCATCCACAGGAATGCAAATTAACCTTTTTGGCTTCCATCAAAGCAGTGTGGAAGTGTGTAAATTTTTACTTATAGTTGATTAGAAGAGCCATTTTAAACAAAAGGCTAAGAGCATTTTCATTGGTAGTTGCCTTAATATTTTGATCTTTTTATCTCTGCCACATGAAATTGAAATGATCACAAATATCATGTCTGAGTGTATACTAGCCTCTGCAAAGGTTTCTAAGATCACCACCAAACGTGAATTTCATAAATAAAATTTGTATCAACTTTCTGCATGTTGAATTTAGGGATCACAATGGGTCCGGATAGGCCTAAGATTTATTTATTTTGCTTCATGTATTGTGTACCTTTGTCGGATTCGGGTTAGATCTTGAGTATAGAGTGGATCCTATCCAACCTGATTAAATATTAATAATAGTATATCATTTAAATATATAAAAAAAATATTTCTAACAATATAAATTATATTAATAATATTTTTTAAGTTTAATTTATTTTTTTTTATTTTATAATATTACTTTTGAATAAAAATTATATATTTTAATGTGTCGGATTTGAGTTTAAGTTAAAATTTAAGAATTTTTTAAATTGAGTTTGTCTGGTCCATTGGGATTTTTTGAATATAGTTTAGGATGGGTTCGGTATGGTCAGATCCAAGTTTAATCGAGTTCAATTCACGTCTTGGGGTTCAACAATGTATATTCGAGTCGGGTTTGGTTGGATCCAACTCATTGTCATCCCTAATGTTGATCACGTGGATTTGGTTGGTGAAACTTATCCTCTTCTTTTTTTTTTTTGAAGTGCGCAATGGGTAAATCATCGGCCGAACTTAATACCCTACAAACTAAACCCGGTAAGGTAAGTCACACTAAGCGAACCATGTGTGGCAGGTGGACCTAGAAACCTCGGGGTTTGAATCCATGATCTCAAGGTCACAAGTTCAATCCAAACACCACCAGACTATCCATTTATTTTTAATTATACGAAGAGCTCTCCCAGTTTCTTGTTTGGTCACATCTTCTCTTGCTTATTACCTCAATTGAATTCAAGTCTCTATTTTTCTTGCCGGCAGTGTTGGAATCTTGCCTTAGGACGGTCTACAAGTGTTTGGTTGGAATCAAATGCACGAAAAAAAGAAACGAATGGAAATAGCATGATTGGAAGATGAAGTTGGAATACAAGATATGAAAATTTGAAAGCAAGTAAATAATATGAAAGAACAAAAATATAGATAAACATGGCTGATTATTTTTGGTGTGATTGCCTTCCTCTTCCAAGTGTCCTCCGTGACATTTTAATATATATATATATATTTTCTTCTTCTTCTTCTAATTTAGAATCTTTAATTCTTCTATAAAGCATAAATTGTCTTCTTTAATTCCTTATTAATTCTTCTCATAACTCCAATACATTACACCCCATGACTCTGCAGTCTTACACCCCATGATTTGATTGTGAGAAGATGTTCAGAACTTTTGATTTGCTCCAACTCTCCTCATGGGCCTAGACCATTGTAGATTTGGATTACCTCCCCCTTGGTTCCAATTGACTCGGACCACCTTCCTTCTTGGTTTTTCTACACAATGGATAACATTTTGTACTAGACTTCAAAACTTAGTTCTTCGTCTTAGGTCTTGAACCGATAGTAACAAATGTCCCCCAAAAATATTGGATGGATTGAATTCTCTAAGATTGGATTTTTGAATTTAAGTCATTCGATATTTTTGGCCGAATAGCGTGGGGCCCAAATAAATTATTTCGCTCTACAAGATTGTCATATCAAAAGTGCTCGATAATCTCTTCTTTCGTGTTGTCTTCCTCAAACTCCAAGGAATGCAAAGTCATCCAGTCATGATCTAGTAGTATAGAGGTGTAATATTACCTTCCGTTCTAGGGAGTGCACTTGGATAAACTTGATCTACAATTAGGGCCCTCCAAGTCCGTATTTCTAATTTTTTTTTCATCTCCATCTCTAGTATGGGTCCACTCAAAGTCCCACACATTGACCATGATCACCAAGTTGGCTTCTAATCTTGTATTTTCCTACGACCTCCTATCATCAACTCACCTTTTGGAGCCATGATTGCTCAGGGTTTTTGGAAACTCTACAAATCTTCCCTTGGTATCCAGTCAGAAGATTGCATTGTATATTGTGTAGGAAAATAAGGACAAGAGCACAATAATTTGGCTACCTAGTTCGATCAGAATGATGTACGTCTGGGGCCGCTGCCAAGCCAGTAATTTTACTATAAAATACACAGACACATGTTAAAGTGAGAATATATTGATATTTATAGCCTAAGCCTAAGCCAATAATATCCAAATCATATCTCAAAATCTATGATACAATTTACAAATCAAATCTAAATCATATGCAAATCATACCCTTTATATCTCAACAATCTCCCGCTTGAGACTGATTGTATCTTCCACTTCAACATTTTACTTTATCCGCAATGACAACGCCAAGCTTCCTTCTTCACTCATCGAGGCCCATTGAGGTTGAACACAACCTCAATTCATCTAAGGTCACCACCTTAGGTTGTTTTCCAGGATTGCTCATAATGCGGCTCAGTACTCCCATTGCACGTGTTTTCCATCTCCTAAAGGTATCAAAAGTATCATTTTTACGCTTAAGGAAATATGCTCATACCTCATTTGTAGCATTGTCAATGAACACGGTGTAGTACAATGAGCCTCCAAAGGTCGATACAAGAATTGGTCCCCATAAGTCCGTATGGACCAACTCCAATTTTTCCTTTTCCAGGTCTCTCCCACCCTTTGAGAACGCCACCTTTCAATGCTTCCCAAAGATACAATCCTCACATACTCCAATATCGACGGACTTGAGACCTAACAACCTTCCTTTGAAACGAGCTCTCTTATCCCCTCCGTACTGACGTATCCGAGACGATAATGCCATAAATGTTTTTCATTATTATGGCCACGGAACTGATTCCGTCTTGCATGCTTTTTGTCGTGTAGAGAGTTCCATCTTTTCTTCCTTGGGCCACCGCAATGGATCCTTAGGTTACCTTCCACGACTTAGTTTCAAAAAAATTTCGAGTAACCTGCCTCATCCAACTGTCCCACGGAAATCAAATTGCGTTTCAGACCATGACATGCCTCACGTTATTCAATCTCCACTCCCCACCATTCGTTGTTCTGATTTGAACCATCCATTTACCTACAATTTTTAGTATCTCATCATCTGTAAGCTAGACAACACTAAAATTACCTGCATTATAGGATTCCATGATTCCCGAATCACCGCATGAGTGGAATGACGCTCTTGAGACCAAAATCTATTACTCAATTGGACTGCTGACACTCAAAATCAGTGATCGTATATCTCCTCCGTTGCGTTTTCCGAGCCCTGATCCTTCTCCTGCGCCCTGCATTGTGGTTTCAAGTGCCCCTTGCAGTTCAAACATACCACCTGACTTGCATCTTCCTTGTCCTTGTTCTTGGGCTTCAACTTTGACCATTCTTGATCTTCACTCTTTCCCTTTGCCTCAGATCTACCCCTATTTTCGGCACTAAGGGGAAATCCAAATTCAAATTCAGTCGAGACATTCTCCGAAAGGGTTAGTCGAACCACACTCATCGTCTTCATGTATTTGGCTTCATCCACATCGTCGGGTTTCTCCTTCAACGCCGCCTCTAGATCTTTACCATACATGTAATATTCTATCTGCATTTTCCAGAACCTGAAGTTTCTTCCATCGAATACCTTGACAGCACAACGATCACCCATCTTGACTCCCACAAACGAACCTAAGGACCACTTGATATGAGAGCACATTGGATATCTTCTCCGCTGCGTTTGCCAAAACCCTTATCCTTCCATGTCCACCTTGCACCGCCTATTACAAAAGGATCCGACCTACCACAACTATCGGGACCAACCCAACACCGCCAGGAGACTTTCAACATGAGGTACCTCCGCAGGTCACAAGAGATTGCCACAACCACAACCAATGGCCGATGCCTCCCAATCCACCCTATAAGCGAACCAGACTACAATACCACTTGTTACGGAAAATCTCATAAAATCAAGAGGCAAACAAGGACAAGAACACAATAATTTGGTTACCCAGTTCGATCAGAATAATCTACGTTTGAGGGCGCTACCAAGCCAGAGATTTTACTATAAAGTATGCAGGTACATGTGAAAGTGAGAATACATGGATATTATAGCCTAATGATAACTAAAATTTGTAGGTTGTAATTTGTACAAGTTCACAGGGAATTTATATTCGAAAATCAGTGAGTGGAGGTTTATAGAAAAGCGATCAAATATAATAATAGTTGTGGTTGTAGACCCTGAGTAGTTATCACAATTATTTATACTCTTTTTACTGGTGAGTTTCCAGGTCGAATACAAGGATTTTAAGTCATAAATTTCAGAAGGTGAAGATCTTGAAAAAGCGACGAAATTGCAGTAAAAGAACCGCTCTACAGCGGATCTAAATTTCTAATCTATCAAAAATGGTAAGTAAAGCGGTAAAAGGATGTGAGCGGAGGTGAGCGAAGCGGAGGCGTAAGGTGGAGTGCCAGTGGTAACCGAGTGATCGGGACATGAGCGGATGTGGAAATCGAGTGAACGGGATGTAGATGAAAGGCGGTAACCGAGTGATCGGGACATGAGCGGATGGCACGATATGTATACATATATATATTTATATATAGGTAAGCGACAGAGAGTGAAGGAGAGGTGTTGTGTCTGACTTGTCCGTTACTAAATGGATAGAATTCCCTGGATGTAATGAACGAATGGTGTAGGTGTGTTAACAAAGATATA